GAATTGATCTTCCTCAAAACACCACTTCATTGCCCTATTGTACGGTAGGCTATACGGACCCATAAATGGACCCAAGTATCCTTATCGATTCGCTAAATCTGTATCTAACACAGTCTCAAATAGCTGGATTTTAAAAGGCTCAGTTCAATTTGTCCGTTTATGACGGATGAAGATACAATGAATTAGTATATAAATTACGGATTTCCTTCACAACAGATTGATTCGCAGCATGAAATCACCTGTTTGGAATGGATATTTCGACCGTGATCTTTCAGAATCGGACTATTCGGGAGAACGTTGTACCCATGCACAAACCCCGCCTAAACCTCTATCGCTCTATACACGATGTACCCCTTAACAGCTGAGACACCAGAACACATGCAAAGCTTAGATATTTTCACACTCTGAAATATGGAATCAGACAGGGTGCGTGCGTCGAATCAAGATGTAAACGGCTTTCGTGCTACTGTTCACCTCTTATCCATCCGCGATTAGCTGAAGTNGACTGCTTCTCGTACATAAGTAGCTGTGTGACCAACAACGGTAGCACATCAAAGGAGATAACCACCGGCATTTCCAAAGCTCGAGCAGCGTACGCGAGACTTAAACGTCTATGGCTGCGATGTGATGTTTCATTAAAATAGAAAAGTAGCGTATACTGCGCCACTGTACGATCAGTTCTGCTTTACGGTTGAGACATTGAGCATGCGGGTAGAGACATCCGTCGCCTAGTTGTTTTCGACAGTCAATGCTTATGTAGTCTGGTCCAAGTGGGATGGAGTTTGCGGGTTAGTAACTTGAAAGTAAGTCTTCGGGTGTTCGGGAATGCTTCGAACAAGAACTCGCTATCGCATCGAATTGAGCTCAATAGGCTCCGTTGGTTAGGACATGTTTTGCGTATGTCCGACGGTCGCCTCCCGCACCGCGCCTTATTCGCAGTGGATGTTGCAGGCTGGAGAAAGCCATGGAGGGGGCAGCAGATGAGGTGGAGACGAGGCATGAAGAAATGCACGGAGCGTTTGGGTAGAGTAGGTATCTCTCGTCTTCCCGATTGCGGTTCAAAAGACTCCATAACCGCTTGATTGGAGACACTGAAGGTCATGACTGCGAACCGACAGCAGGGGCGATCTTGTTCTCAATTCTTACCAGACCAGAATGCTTGAAATAGTATGTGTGCACAGTTGGACTGTGTACTCTGTGTGTTGACCATAGGGGTTCGCTTTCTTTTCCCGTCCCTAAAACTAAGTCCAATCCCTATCTTCCTTACACCTTCTCACTTACCTTGTATGGCACTTGAGTTTGGCAGCGATTAATGAAATTCGCTTCGCTGTATTGCGCTGTACAATGATCATGATGATAATGCGAGGCTAGTGTTCATATCGCAATTGATTACAAGAAGTTTAACGAGGGATTCCGAGAATCACAACACAGTTAAAAAGACCATGAATTTGAAACAACATTTTGGATGGTATACTTTAGATTTTCCGACAGTGTCTATGGGGTAGTAGGCAAACACTTACTAAATTTCCTCACGTGAATGCGTATGGCTAGCGCGTTCACCCGAAGTGTAAAGCTTGCAACGGTAGAGACCAGTTTCATTGGGATTAGTTCCACTTTCTCCTGTGTCTGTTTGAGGATACGAAGAAAAGTCTGTCTTTTTAACGACACATCTTGGTGTGTTGAACAGCAGAGATGGTGTAAACCCCATAGTCACGAAGACCTATTGTTGAGTTATAGAAGCCGTTAACCTTAGCCCCGCGGGACGTGGAGTGGTAAACCACATAAGGCCCCTCTGGGTCAGGTCGGGCGTTGAATTGGATAATATCAAAGATGCCTATCGCCAAAGCTGGGTGGTGGTGGTGGTTGGGCTCGAACATCGGGCCATAGGGTCCAAAGCGCACCCGTGACAGTGAATAAACCAATGAGCCACCAGCGCCCTGGCAATGTGAGAGAATATGTGTAACTAAAAAACGAATTTAACTAACTTACATTCTGTTTGATCAGCTTCATTGACACGTGTCAACAAACTGATGGGCAACCGGCTAGCCTTGAAGGTAACCAGATCGGCACGGCGTAGTGTTTGATGAGAAAGAGGTTCGCATGGTGTGTTTGGTTGTTTAGCATCGATAAATTAATCTATCCATCTATCCGGTCGTACCTACTGTCTTATTGATTGGTTTTCGTGTCGCATGGGATGCGGCGAAGGGGTGGGAGTAGACCTGAACGATGTGGGTTCATCACTTCCCAGCAACTTCAGACCAGCACTACGCCTCGAGAAACTGCCTTGCAGAATTTGTGTCCTTCTTCGTCTGCGTGAAACGAACGACGGGAGAAGGTATCAGTTCTTCTGAACCAAACACCGAGCTACTCACAACGAGCCAAAAAGAAAACAGACGTTGGTTACCATTAATATTATTATTATTTAATGATAAAAATATTGTCTAATCAATATTCGAATTGAACACCTGAGTTATGTTGTTGGATTTAAGGCAATCAAATATAGACCACTAGAAGGAGTTTGGACTGATTTTAAGAATATGCGAGCACACATGAATTGTAAACCAGGTTATGTTATTTGATGCTCCCAACAGGGACACCCTCTCCCGCAAACACACACACACATAGGAGAGGAAATAATGCATTCACTTTCTTCTTGTTTGGATAAAACCAGAATCTCATGATAGAAAACCACTCAGTTTCCGGGGTGTAAAGGAACGGTTAATCCCCAATGCCTAGCGAATATGATGATGCACATGCATTGATTGAACTGTGATTGAACAACCAGAGTTTCGTCAGATATATTCCTCCCCCCACCGCAGCCGCTTCCATCTAAACACTTGGCTTTTTTGAGCCTCATTCACGGGATTAAATAAGATATTGCCCCGCATCAGATACAGAATGTATATATATATGTATATATATATACTTGTGTTTTTGTTTCTATCATCTAAGTACCTTGAACAAGTACTATTTCTCAATT